ACTAGTACAGATGGAGATGATACATCGCGATAAAAGAACCTAAACCATTTATCTCATTAGACGAATTTGGATTTCAAATCGAGAATGACTTCTCCTCGCGTTATCCCGTAAACATGGACGGGTTTGAAAAGTAATTCGCGCGGGGAACTTGGTCCACAGACATGCGCGGATATCATCATCCGACTGAAAAATATTGCGTCTTCGACTGGTGCCACTGTATCTTTCTCGCATAAACTAAACGAAGATTTGTGGCCCGCTGATTAATGCTTAGTCAGACAGTTACGGGGTGTCAAAGTTCAGCAGCGCTATTGGGTTTATATCAGCAACTTCTGTCTAACGACAAATGTCACGAAATCTTCCTCTGACAGCTGATGTATGATCCCGCGTGCGCAACTCGAACGATCCATTATTTCGTAGCTCGTCGAATCGAACTTTCAAAACGTTTGCTTTCTCTAGCCAGTCTTTGGTAGCGAATTAATTATACGTTACATTTACGATGCATCGCAAAGTGCCTCAGCATCTCTTTCAACGAGCATATTGTACCGAGAAATCTCTTCTTTGTTACTCAATAATTAACTAAATGATTCTCGTTTGAAATATTTATGAGTCTGATAAAACATGGAGCAGGTTAATTGAGTGAGTCAAAAATTTTTATCAATTAATTTAAAATGTTATAATATGAGTTTAAATCGTTCTAAAATAAATCTTTTTTTTCTGAGAAATATTTTTTCAAAAATAATATTTCTTTAAATGAGATGGTACTCGACATAATACTTCAAATGTATATTAAATTTTCTATAAATTATATCTATTCTCTAAATTATTTTACTATTTCTCTAAATAATATTTCTCCAAATTATTTGCGATCTTATGTTTTATGATCAGCAATTAAATAAATATAAATAAAAATATATCTGCCAACAGGAGCCGTCCTTGTCGGCGTCTCTTATCGATAGAATTTCCTCGCTGTTTTTAGCGTTAGCTGATACGTTATCCCACAGGATGTTACAAAGTCCTGTGATAAACTCCTCATGCGATTCCCAAGATTTATCAGCTACTTACTCGTCTGTTACAACAGAAGCAAATCTCCGCTTGTGTTTGACAGAGGACTGAAAAAATATATAGTTGTGATTTGTTCCAGCTTTATTTATTTCCATTCTTATATTCAATGAATATAATTTTCCATCTAATGACTGTGTGTCTTGTACAAGTATGATGCGATTGTGGTATTTTATTTATCGTTTTTATTCGTGTCGTTTTTTTTTCAACGTTATTCACATCTGAATCGTGACAATCTGTAAAATATTCGTATCTGCGAAATATTCGTTCGCAACATGTAGAAAAGTCGCAACAGCGGCTGAACGAATGCTCAGACGAGGCGTATAAGCGGCCGTCTAAATTTGGATCGTATAGCGAAACGAGGGACCGTTTATAAATTCCACTTTCCACGATGGAAATTCGCGTAAAACGCGCAAAATGCGAGAACCGTTTATTCGTCGCGCAAAATTGATTAAAATATAAATTAAAGAGAAGAAGTTGATGAATATAATTACGTGATTTTCTCAAATATATAAGGTTGACGATTCACGTTCGTGTTCGAGGTGATTTCGAAATAATTTTTACCAACGCGTTATAATTGACTTGTAAAATTAGCGTGCCGTAACAAATATACGGTTTCCTTAAAAGTGAAAGTAAGAGTTGCGCACACATGATACAAAACTATATCGCATGCCCGTTGTGCTAAGCGCATAATCCGAATCTATCCTTATCGTTATCTGTATCGGTCATCGTGAATGCGAGACATTCCTAGCCTAGCCATGTGTAATTTTAATAAGAGCGTAAAAAATGAGAAAAAAATTACGAGAGAGAATAATTAAAAGGAAATATTATACTTTTTATTCCATTGTTATGGAGATTTAATTTTGCGTAATGAAGAATGTAATTTAATTAGCTCTCTAAAAGGCTGTAACAAGACTTAATTTATTTCTTTCTATGTTCGTAGCATGGCTTTTCGATTCGCGTCAGCTGACGCCGTTTAACGAGCAATTTTAATTAAGTGACATCGTCGTGACTAACGTCGCGCCCCGCGAGCACACGTTAAACGATCCCGTGACTCAGGATTCGTCCCTATGAGTTTAAGACTGGCGTCAAAGAATTGCAAGCTGGCACAGTGGGAGAAAATTAATTGTCTTTTACATCGAAAAAACAAGTTCTCTCTCTTCTTCTCTCTCTTTCTCTCCGTCGGACAAATCCCGAAATAACTGGTAATTTACTTAGAGTCATCGTTGCTTAATCACGTCGCGATTCCACGGATTCGACGTGGCTCGTAACTTTTTCGACCCTGTGGGATTATTAAATCCCGCGTTTAAAGAGAAAGCCCGGGGACGTTAATCGCGACTGGTCGCTAAACTTTCCGGCTTTACGATATAAAATGTATCGTCGCCGTGACATTTTGAAGCGGCCGGGGACCGCGCAGCATCCGCGAGCGAATTTTATTTCAGGACGAAAAAAAAACGTCTCGTTGCCTTTAGGGATTCGGATATTTTTGGCCCTCCTCGCTTCGCTTCATCGTCTCTTTCCTTTTCGATAACTGGGAGGTACGTTCAGAACGACCGCATTTTTCCGCGCCGCGAGGAAAGCAAAAATATAATATTTTCGCGAAGCTTTATTATCAACTGAAATCCGACGACTTTGTCTTTGCCTACTTGCCAACATTTGACATTCCAAGCATTGACGTTTGGAGAAATATATCTAACATCATGTTATACGATTATTGATGTATGTATTCTGTTTCATGTGGATCAATTATATCTCATTTCGATGCGGTCGATTAGCGATTTGATATCTGCACAAAATTTATCGTCATCCAAAGTTTTATATAAATATGTAAGGTATTGTTTATATCTGAGATTCATTCGATTTTAATCTATCATGTAAACAATTTGCAAATCTAATTATATTTTTGTATATTATAAGTCTCCAATATTTATTTTTAATTTTAACTTAAATAAAATAAAATAAATTACAAATTATATAAATAAATCTCCTCATCTAAAGTACATCTTGATATTGGTGTTGGGCTTAGTAGCTGAAGATCTTTTATCTTGAAAGAGGAAGATAAGGAAGGTAAAGATACTTGAACAATTCCTGATAATGCTGTAAAAGCATTTCAAATTCTTCCTTTAGTAATTAGTCACGCCTTCGCGTAATATTTCGATTTCGTTTCGGTTCGATTTAAAATTAATTAAAATCCGATCGATTGCTCAACAAGGCAGGATGGGCTCGTCTTCGTTCAGTCTCACCTCACGCACCACATGATTTCATTCAAGAACTGATATTTCTTCTCCAAAAGTAACATAAATCTTACTCTTTCATTCAGCTATTAGTCGATCGATGACTCTCTGCCGTCCTATCTCATCATCTGTTCCTGCGCACAGTGTTCCTATTATAAAATAGTTCTCTCTCTCTTTCTTAATCTCAGATTCCTCAGATTTCGACCTCCAAGTCTCATCGCGATACGCGAAATTCGCTAATATGCCATCGCCGCTCAATCTTCATGACATTTTTCAGTTTCATGGCCTTCGAGCCTTGACAGGACAAGAGGCGACATTTCCCGACGCTCGTCGTGCGATCGATAGTGATGTACGACGACCTCTAAAGGTGCTTCTGCGGCGCGCCTTCAACAGTGTGCATTACAATTTCGCGTTGCAATTCCGCTGCACTCAGACCAAGTGGATTTTCGAGGGAGACAGAATTAATCGAGTGGGAGTCAACGAGTTGAGTCACGCAAACTGCGTCGTATTTTGCCGCTTTTTTCATTCGAAATATAAGTCTTGTAGAGATTTCCTTCGCGAGGTTTTGACGCATCATGTGCCCTGCCGATCGCTCCAGCATCAAAAGCTGAATGGCAATCGTTACGTTACGTTGCAGGTACATACATAGTAGCGGCACTTAACGGTGAAAGTGTGTCAACGCGTTTTTAATTTGTATTTTATCGTTATAGACCGGCGGTCTTGAGACCTTCGCGCGTCATAGACCGAGTTCCTGTATCCTGTCCCAACAGCAAAAAATTGGAAAAATCGATTTCCGTATCCTTTCCTCGCCGGTGGAAAGGCGAGTTGGCAATATATTGCGTAGGCAACGATCGGAACGGAAAAAAAATTTTTTCATTAATATTTAATAGCAATAAATTGGAAAATTTGAATATCACGACAGCTATTTGTTTTTTGAGATTATGGTTATCAATATATACATATATAGATAACTATTATGTATATAGATAACCATTATGATATATAGATAATGATATGTAGATAAAACCATTATGTTTTGAGGAATATAATCTCGCAGACATTTACGATCTTCACGGAGAAAATGTCATATTTTAAGATTATAAGTGAGAAACAACCAACACAAGAGTGCTTTGTGAGTTGACTCAACTATACTCTTGGATCAAATTAACGCATCATTTTTTCTTACTTTTTCCTTAAAATTTTTCATTAAAATTTAAATATCATCTTTCAAAGAAAAAGTGAGAAAAATTATGCGTTAATTTTATCCAGGAGCATATAATTGGTATTATTATAAAAGTACATAAAACATTGTTACTCTGAAACAATGCTAGCAAAATTCTTTAGTACGCGAAAATTATTTACGCGAAATTTTTATTTTTAAAATTCCGTCCGCGAGAAACAGTCTCTAATATAGAATATTTTCATTATACATCAATTCTCTATAGGAAACAATATCCATCATTGTAGCTATCTATAAAGAGACAATGTCAACATTGCTTTTTTATTCCGCTATGAGAGATGGTTGCACGATGTAAACACGATTAAAGGTCCGCGAGGATTGTGCGTTTGCCTCTCCCACTCCCGCGTTCGTAGAGAGAAAAAGAAAACAGACGCAGATGGCGAGTAGTGGGGATGGTCGGGCAAGGGGCAGGGTATACGTTCTCTCGTTGGCCGTGTCCTCTTGACGATCAGTCGTTTGCGCGCGCGCCCAGCTGTCACGTTGTTGGCGCCCCGTCGTCCGTTTCTCGAGTTCGTGGCCCGACGCACGTGCAAGATCCTACCATCGGATTATAAACCCTGGGCTCGATTATATCCCTTCGCGATAACGCTTTAGAATCGGGGAGAGAGGGAACGCCCATCTCGACCAAGGCTAACGCGAGGAAACATAGCTATCAGTGATGTGCTAGGCCTAGGTGAAGGTTTGTTTGTTGTTGCCGTGACAATGATGGGCAAAGTTTGACGAAGGAAATTACAGTCGCGGAGTGGAAGTGAGTCTCGTTGAGTGCAAGTGACAGTCGAATGTGTGCTCCGGCTTCCTCTCTCGGAGTAATCGGTCACCGGAAGTTGGAAGAGTGATACGGTTGACGTTGATCGCTGCATCCTTGCTAGCCTTTCGATATCGAAGACCGGGACTCGTCGACTAAAATAGTGCAGCGTCTGTCTCGTTGGAAAGTCTCGATCGAGCTGTAACGTATCGTTGCGTGTCGTTGCTCCGACTTATCTGCGCGCCGAGATAAGTTTGCGGATTACGTCGTCGCGCTTAATCTCAATCGGGCCGCGTTTGACGAGCGCGTTTCTCTCCTCGCGCTCCTCCACCTCGTTTCGCTCGGGAGCGAAGAGAGACGCGCGACGAGCTCTCGCGAAACGATGGTAAATCGAGGCGATCGAATCGAAGCGGTCGATTCTATCGATCGCCCGGAAATCGCGGCCGATTATCAATCAAATTGAATCCTCGAGCTGGACGTTCCATCGGATATTCGTCGGCGAATCGGAGCTCGCGTCGTTCTTGACGCGGGATCATGTTCGATTGAATTGAAGAGAAAAAAATTTCGACGATCAACAAAAACGAGCGATAACGAGACGACGCGCAAAAAGAAGTCGTCGGTGGAAAGAAGATCCCGGCGCTCTCGGTCTCGACGAGCCACGTCGGTCAATAAGTCAACGACGAACATCGGCAGCTGCTGTTTGAACGAGTTTCGGCTTTCCTTTTTGAAGCCGAAACTGAAAAAACTCGCAGCGGTTTCCAACGAGAGTCAGCCTGGCGATTTGTAAACACAATTGCAAAAGACAACGGGATGTGCGCGAGAGAGATATGACGAACGACGAAAATTGATAGTGAGAGGAAGCAGCTCGGAAGAGAAGCTAAGATGATGATGCCACCGCCGCAGGTCGTGGGTGTCCTGTTGAAGAAACCGGGGCAGCAAACGCATCCGCGATTACCTCCCTTGGATCAACAGGAGACTAAAATTAAAGGTAACTTATTTTTCTTTCTTTTTATTACATCATTTTTATTTTATCCCATTTTTTATTACAAACATATTCTTACAAGCGGGCCTAGAAACATAAAAAATCATAATGAAACGATCATTAAAAAGTATTAAATTAATGACGCGTACAATCTTGAAATAACGTTTCAAAAGATGTATATACGTCTTCTTAAACGATTTTAATGTATATATTAAAATATATGCAGATATTTTAATATATATATATTAAAAATAAAAATTTTCAGAGACGTGTCGATGTTAAATTAAAGAATTATTATCACAAGCAACAGCGGCGGATTATACGGTGCCGATAGCGTATCAAATAGGTTAATTACTATCGTAATTGAGTTCTCTACATAGACACCTAGTAATCACAAATTTTCCCATTAATTCGGCACACTTTATTTAATGATAACCATAAATAGGCATGCGTGTATGTGTATTTATTTTGCAAAAATATAGCCTCCTACTTCAACCAACATCATAAAACTCTCTTCTATCAACTGATTTTCAGTTGTGTGGAAGTTGAAATTTAAAAAAGTATTTAAAAAATTAATTAGTTGATGCGATTAATTTCAAAAACGTGCCAAAGAGATATCGCCGATGAACTTTTTTCGCCAGACCAGCTATTATTATTCTCTTGGAGAATGCGAGCGAACGATTGAGGTCCTTTCAAAGCCTCCCCTCGGAACAAGCGGAGAGAGAGGGAGAAAGAGAGAGAGAGAGAGAGAGAGAGAAATGCTGGACCGAAAGAAGAAATAATTTTCATTGTAGCAGGCTCGCGGCTTACATTCTGTAAACAGGCGACCGAGAGAGACGTAAACTCGCGCCATTCACCTCTGTCGGATCTCCGCGCCGGCGTTACGCTACATTATCGGTATTATGATTCATTGGAGTATGTTGTTACAACATCGAGGCTTATCGAGGCGGCTAAGCCTCCCCGTTCGCTGAAATCCGGGTTCCGGCTCTCGTTCGCTGATCAGACTCTACTATCGATTTCGCCGGGTGTAATTTCTGTCCAGAAATGCGCTCGCATGCTTCTCCCTGATTAACGACTGATCGCCTCTAGCTCAAAATTAATTCACCGAATGAGAAAAGCGCCGAAAAATATGTTCCGCCATTGCCGGGTATCACGTGAAAATCCTCGTAAAACGGAATGTTTAACTCGCGCAAACGCGACAATTGAAGATTAAGTGGCTCCGCTGGCTTGTTTACTCTATTATGTCGATCAGCCGAGCCGACGCCTTTACGGCTCCGTTAACAATTATGTTAATAGAACGACGACGCGCTGCGATAACAGCGCGTGTTGATTTTGATACGAATAAATGAGCAGTTTTATGGGGAACAAGCGTAAAAATGTCTTTTATTAAATACATCTTTCATCAGCTTGATGTAGCTTATTTGCATAAAATTATAGATTTTTTTTATTTTGATGCGTATAACTATTTTTAGATTGACTGATTTGATTGATTGATGTAGACTTGATAAATGAACAAACGAGTAGTCTAATAGAAAACAAGAATAAAAATATCTTTTCTGTTAAATATATCTTCCATCAGCTTTTAGCTTGTTTGCATAAAATTATAGAATTTTTATGTACAACTCCTTTTTAGATTGCTCTTGATTAAAGTCTTAAAATAACTCGTGAACGATGTTACGTCCCGCTGCTCCGAAAACTCGATTCGCGAACGGCTTCTAATTCGAGCAAATATCAAACGGTAAAGGCGCCTGATCGCTTAAAAGGCTTTTTAGAAGTCCGTCTCGTTCGCACGCGATTGACAATTCGTGCTCCGTAATCCGGTATCTGGGCTACCGTGCTAACGGGATACTTTTACGTGGCCATCCAGCCAATGCGCGGGGAACCTGAAAATGGACTCTTTAGCGGGCAAACTCTCGCGGAAAATGTGTTTGTGGACTTAGCAAAAATATACGAAAGAGATACATACACCGTGAAATACGCGTTAAACCTCGGGAAACCGAAAATGACAGAGCCTGAAACGTATAATAATCGTGAGATTAGTCGTGTCACGCGTCAAATGACCTCGATCGCAGTAAAGTAACGTAATTTGTAGAACAATCTCGTGGACTATCTAAGATTCTTGTAGTGACAGCGTATCAAGAGCGCATTAAGATGACGCGGCGCCGAAAAAGACGATGACGTTCCACGCAAAAATAGATTGTCCAGAGGCGAATGTTTGCCGAATATAGGCACATGAGTTTCTACAAGATTATACTTATAATCCTTTCAATGTTTCGTAAAAATAAAGAAAATAATGGTAATTTGCGACTATCGCCGAGCGAACGAAATTACATGTACGGCCCGTTAATTTCTGTTTAACGCGAAAAGAGGTAAGACACCTCTAAATTCCTACGTTTACGGCGGGTCAAGAAACAGTAAGCGAAGAAAGCGGGCGAACCTACTTGCGTTGCGGCGATTTCAGCGCCAGTTTTCCATATGTATACGACTATACATCGAATCCCTCGTTGTTTTTTTTTTCCACCCCGCGGTAAAAGCAACCCTTTCTCTCCTGTAACTTTATTAAACTCACGCTATTTTCCGTTTCATTGCGCATTCTACAAACGATTACGACATAGTATCGGCGATCCCGATATTGCGAAACCCCGTCGAGATTTTAATGAAGCATACCTCGATAGCGGCTTTATATTATAATTTTGTCCGCAACGCGGTCGCTCTTTAATTAACTCCCGCCATGAAGTGACCCGTGAAATATCATATATATTGCGCGAAACGTAAAGCACAATCTCCCGTGTACACTTTAATTACTTTAATTACTCAAAGACGAATCAATAATTGAAAATATCGTATTTATGTTAATAAAAGTTTCATCGACACTTATTTCGCGTACTTTTCGCTTTTCTTTTCTCCTCCTTTTGCAATTTTCGCAAAATAAGAGTCGAACCCTTGGCACATAAAAGAGCTCTTTGAGACACGAAGGGACACTGCGACTGTGTAAATAGGACCCTTTAAAAAACAAATTAATAATCATCGTGAATCTTGAAAATATCGTATTTACGTTAATAAAAGTTTCACCGACACTTAATTCGCGCAGTTTTCGTTTTTCTTTTCTTCTCCTTTTGCAATTTTCGCAAAATAAGAGTCGAACCCTTGGCACATAAAAGAGCTCTTTGTGACACGAAGGGACACTGCGACTGTGTAAATAGCCAATAGGACCCTTTAAAAAAATTCGCAAGAGACAGCACGCACGGTTGACGATGCGCGTTTCACATTTCTCGTTCTTCAGCATGTTCTGGCAGCGGGAAACAGGATTTCAAGGTGTTACGTGGTGGTCGCTCTCTTCATTTCCGTTGGCGCGATTCATCGTTTTCGATTCGGCGGTTTCGGTGACATTCGCGAAAGAAACGAATCTGTATATACGTTTGATTCGCGCACGATTCCTTTTGCGCAATGAACGTCTCTCTCCATCTTTCTCTCTCTCTCTTTCTCTCTAGAGTCCGGGCGACTTAAATTAGGGTCACAGTGCCGAATTAAGCACGGTCCACAAGTGCCATTCACGAGGAACTCGACGCGACCGGGGATTAAGATATACACATGTAGATAAAGTCGGCCCCTATCCGTATTCGAGTTTCTGCGATTCTCTAGGAATCCTTTTTATACTTGAGAATCCTCCTGAGAAATCCCTGTCCCTGTTATACGTTTCGCGAAGTAATCCCCTAAGTATCGCTATTCAGGGGACGAAATTGAGCTTGCGCGTCTCGACGTAAAGACGCGGGTCTTTGCGGTTAAAAAGGTTCAATTGAGCTGAGGGAAGCGAAAGAGGATCATTTCTATCGCCATGCACGACCGATTGAATGAAAGAGAGCGAGAAACTGAAAGAGAAAGAGAGAGAAAGAGAGGAAAGTCTGCGAGTCGCGAGTCTAAACAAATTACGACAGCGGCGACTGGCTTCTCGCACGAGCGCGAATAATAAATCGCGAATAATAATCGCTGGCGCATATACCGGGTGTCCCGGTTGCGAAGACGAACGCGACACCCGACTGGATCGTGACTCGGGTTAGGCTCATCATCGATCGGGAGACTCGAATCTCGGCCACGAGAGACGCGCGTTTACCTTTCACTAAAATGCTCGGCTCCTCGTCTTTTCTCTACGTGTATTCGGCAAACGTCTCCCATGTCATTTACGACTAAAATTGTCGGGCGAGAAACCAAGTTTGCCCATTCAAACATTCAATTACGGCTATATTTTCTCAAGAGCGATATCGCTTCTCGAAATTGATACCTATCAGTCATTATCCCACATCGAATATTTATATCAATTGTTTGCGACGCATATTCACATCCGGTATCTCGTTATATCATACTCGTTATCATATTTGCGGACGATGACACATCCAGAGTTAGATGACGTTCGTTAAAGCGTGCTCCGATTATTAAATAGAATTATTTTCACGGTATATAATGATCACTGCAAACGTGTAGCTATAGGAGACAGAGAGAAAGAATAGTTTCACCATGATCTACTATAATAAGAAAAAAATATCTGATATAAATAGGTTTTCTCTCGTTTGCTCCAATTATTTTCGAAAATATTAACGCGAGTTATAAACGAACTCTCACGTCACGTCTTATCGACACTCGTGTTTGATATCGGCGTCTAATTATTGCCAATCTCGACTTTCGTCTGCGTCATCCTCGACCTCGGACGCTTCAACGAAATCGCGACTCGAGCTGGATCTCTTTTCGATGTCATGTCGTTTCTAATCGAGCTTTGAAGCGACCAGTTTTGTTGGAGACAAGTTATTATGAAAATATTTTGCAGAATCGCGCTCCGATTCATTCGATTCAGAATCTACTCCGCATTTTCTATCAATTTTTCATTCCTATCAATTTTTATCTTCCACGCACGTAATCGTGAATTTTACAGTAGACGGACTGTTCGGTATCTAAGACCATAGTCTTACAGCTGTCAACGTCATCTTGACGATCTCTCTTGAGCCAAGCGCGAC